TCTGTCCTTCAGGTCCCGGCTTAAAAACGTCGCCTCCTTCCTGACCACCCTGTGGAAAGATTCTGTTAGTTTTTCTTTATTTTCTTTATTTATTTTTTTGCGGTACGCAGGCCTCTCACTGCTGTGGCCTCTCCCGTTGCGGAGCACAGGCTCCGGATGCGCAGGTTCAGCGGCCATGGCTCACGGGCCCAGCCGCTCTGCAGCATGTGGGATCTTCCCAGACCGGGGCACGAACCCGTGTACCCTGCATCGGCAGGCGGACTCTCAACCACTGCGCCACCAGGGAAAGCTCCTAGTTTTTCTTTTGACGTATTTCAGCAAGACTGGGACAAGGAGCTGGGGCTGGAGCCTGGTTATCCCTGTGCCCTTTCCACAGCTCCCCGGTTTCATATTCCAGACCGGGTCCGTTAGCAGTGTTCCCGCCAAGCAGTGCCGAACCAGGGTTTGGGCAGCTGCGTTCTGGAGCTAAGAGCCCACTTCGACATTTATCCTTCTGACATTTGATCCTGGTGAATTTGACTTGTTCCAGCCTGGCGCTGTGGCTGTCCCAGGCTTGTGAGGATTAACTAGGTAGATACAGGTAAAGGGCTTTGCAGCGTCCCAGCACCTAGGACTCAATAAGCGTCAGCCGCTGTGAGCTCTTCCACCGGGTCTCAGCTCTTCCTCTCAGGTTTGGCCGTTAGAGAGTCAATCAGGCTCTTTTCCCTCTGATTTTCCTGCAGCCACTCAGGTCTTTAGAATGCTTGATCTCCGCACTCAGGCCCTTTGCACAGGCTGGTCCCTCTGCCTGGAAAGTAATTTCCTAAGTTTTCACTCCTCTTTGTGGTTTCGTCTCACTCTCCAGTCATGGTTAAACGTCACCTCTTCTGAAAGAACGTCCTTGGCCATCCTGTGGAATGCAGGCCCCCTGGAACTCTCTAGCTCAGCAGCCTGCTGGTCATTGCATTTGCCATAACTTGTAATATATCTCTTTGTATATTTAATTATTCATTGCCTATCTCTTCCTCTCACCTATAAAATAGATGACTTTGGCATTCACCATGCTTCCCTACCATCTAGTACAATAATTTACATATAGTAGGTATTTAATAAATATCTGCCCAGTGAATCACTCCAGGTCATTAATGAAAATACCAGAAGCCAGGTCAGAGCCTTGCTGTTAGCACTGATGCCGATCTGCGTGCACATCATAGCCTGATTTTTACCCCAAAACAGGAAGATTGGAACAGTGGTTGTGGGTCTTTTGACACTTTCTCAGAAATAGGCCACAGAATAGTTTGGTGTGAATTCCCCTTCCCACCACTTTCCCATTTTTTTTTTTTTTTTTTTTTGGGT